ATTATTTTCTTTTAAATATGTTCTGGTGTTTGTGACATGAAAGCATTTAATTTCAGCTTCTATTTTAACAGGCAGGGAGGAAATCCTCTATAACAATAATCAACTCACTGCTGAGTAAGTCCATGGGACATTAAATTAGTGGAGTTATGTATAGAAAAGCAGAGCCAATATTTTATCTTTTATAGTTAGTATTGTCCTTGGTATGACTTTAGAGGGGAAAAAAATTCCCCTTGACCAAAGAGAAGCAGATCCACCAGAGATCTCTCTTCTCCTTTTCAGGTATACCTATCCACCTTTTTATCTCTTCATGCTTTGAGTTTCAAAAGTTAATTTAATTAAGCCAAATGTGCGCATCTTTATACTGTGGAAAGTCATCCTTTCAAGACCATCAGAACTTTTCTGAGCCCTTCTTTGAAATAGAAACCATGAAAAGGAATGAATTTAACGAGTAGAATTATTAAATTCAAGAAGTGGTAAAAATGTCATATCTGATATAATTTCAAATGCATTCAAAACACAGTGCTGTATATACCAAAATTTTTAACAAAGAAAACTTTTGTTTTTTTTAATTATCCTGCATTTAAACAAAACCATGTTAAATGTTATTCCAGGAAGTGAAGAATATTAATTCTAACTATCTTGAGTGTATGTAGATGGTCAGGGAGAACAGGTAGCATAAGGTTGCATATGCCCAAGGAAAGATCTCAGCAGTCGCTTTGTTTCAGCATCTCATTTCGCTTGCCTAAGGGGCAGTGAATGTTTTACCCCATATCCTCTAGAAATAACTTTATTGATGGAATAAATTTTACAGGAAAAAGCACAAATGCAATATTGATCAATATATTTCAGATACATAATGCTAAAATAGAACTTTAGCATAGGAAATTGGATCACTTATACGCCTTATTTTCTGAAAATGAATATTTTATATTGTGTTTATATGGGCTTTCATATGGGCACCTATTTTGTGAAATCATTGTATTTTCTTTACTCAGACATGTGAACAGTGCATCAGTGTGTCCAAGTGGATCATATTCCTACCTGGCCCTGCAACAGTGGCCAAGAGAAGAGAAAAGCTTTAGTTTAGTTCTGGGATACAGACCTTTCTAAATCCCAAAGAAGTCAACTACCAAGGCATTAGTGTTGACTCCAGATTGAACCTATAGATGTTAAAAGAAACAACTTTGAAAGCTAGTGAAACAACCACAGTATACATTGCAAGCTCTTTGCTATAAGTGTTAATTTTCTGGTGCAGCAAATGGACCGATCGTTCTTCCCATTGCACAAACTTGAGGACTAGAACCATAGTTCCAAAAATTGAGTGTCTTAACTTCACCTGTCAAGCATTTAAAAACTCAGAAATTGGCTGACAATCAAAAGTATACTTAGTATATCTGGGCGACATTGTAACAAATATTCAGAATTATTCTATTATGTTTTATAAGAAGATAATATTTAGCTAAATTCTGTATCTGATAATTTTTGTACTCTCTTCTTACTGCTACTATGGTTTCAGTACATCCTTTTACACTCTGACCAAGCAGAGAAATAGTTATTTGCTAAGTTTTGCTTGGCTTGACACCAGTTTTAAAGTTCTATGCTTAGAGCAATATCATGTAAAAATGACAAAAGTATGCATATGTATTTGATTTTATTGATCTAAGAAGTAAAAAGGAGATGTCAGACCCATTGAGTGGCATAGTATTGCTTTCTGTCTTGCTTAGGTCACAAACTGCTGCCCACTTTGAGGCTTATTTGTACTTCTCTGACTTCAGTGTCACCTGTTAATAATTCATGATGTTTTGTCCAGTCAGGCAGTTAGCCTACAAATCTTGCTTTTCTGGAGAAGTCTAAAGTGGTATATTAATACCATCATTAACTTTGTGTATGTGAATGTGAGTGTGTGTGTGTGTGTGCATTTTAATAGTATGCATATTGGTTAGTGACTTCTACCTGTCATGATGAATCACAGCTAGGAAGATGTTTCATTGAAAAAAAATTCTGTAGCACTGTGTATATTTTAGCTACAATAGAGTTATTTTATTACAAAGGTCTCTTTAGCATCACTGGCTCAAGTGCATATACTACTTGCCCTGGAGGCTTTAGTTTTAGAACATTCTAATAAGGGCCCTGGGTGATAGTAAAATGAGCAGGGTACTTACTTTGCACATGTCCAACCCATATTTTATTCCATGAACCCCACCTAATACCTCAAGCCCTTCAAGAAGAGATTCCTGAAAGAGCAGGGAGTAAGCCCTGAGTACCACCAATTATGACCCAGACTGAAATAAACAAAAAACAAAACCACAAAGCACATTCTAAGGAACCTGGAACTGGTTTTACTTTTGTGATTAGCCTCTCTCAATTTTTTTTTTTTGCTCATTCCATATGTAATGAAAGATTAAAATCTTAATGCTACTGATCTCATTTTTGGAGGGGTGGCTTTATCTGGAAATGTTTGGGGATTGTTCCTGGCTCATTGCCTAGGTGACTTCAGCCATATTAAAGAGACACTTTTATGCAAGTGATGCCATCACACAACAGTCCATAAGCTCCTTCTCTAGCCCAACACTTCTAATTTTTGTCCTTAGATGTGGTATCACTGATGCTCTGTTTAACTACCTAATCATGTTATCACCCACATAGGTGTATCCCAGCTCTGTAAAGGTTGAAGTTTTATTCCAAGAGGACTCTATCTCTTGAAGGAATTTAATTTCCTGCCTCTATTCCATTTATTAACTTTCCTATTTTTAAGCCTGAATATATTATCAGAGATATAACCAATCACCTTTTAATGATCATTTTCCTTTCATTTCTTGGTGTATATTTAAATAGCTCTATTGAGACAATTTGGCATACTTTAAAGAGTTTGGCTTAAAGTCCCTGACATGAGATCAGAATTCCATTTGACCTAAGTTGATGTGTCATCAACTTGAACTTCTGTATCTTTATCTATCGGATAAGAGCAATTTTTATCTCATCTGTTGCTTTATAACTTGAGAACAAACACATAATGTGGCAGCCATAAGTTTTAAGTTTTGTTGACATGGTTTGCTTTGTTTGCATTTAGAATCTCCAGACTTGTAGTACCAATGATCTGCCTAAGTCAGCACTTCTGAAACCCCGATGGTATTTTCCAGACAGGGAATTCCTGGAAGCTACTCACAGTTTTTCTCCTTGAACATGTTATGATATATTTTGAACATGATAAAGCAGAAACAGCTTTTTAAATATTTATGTTCTCCACACCACACAAGCCACTATGTTTGCTCTCCATTTCTGTATGTGCCAAGTAGACAAGCCAAACAGTGTGAGAAAAAAAAATACTGTCAGGGTACAGAGTTAGCTTGTCTGAAGTGTACGCCGTGCAGATGTAACCTTCATAGGAAAGAGTGGAAACTACCCCCTGCTCACACAGTGATATCTTGAGTAACAAATCACCTGAAAATAGAATGCCTTTATAAGCAATTCAACTGAGTAAATTTTTATTTTAAAACTTCACAAATCAAATGAACTAGTACTAACTTTTGTAGAATAATTCAGTGGTAATATCCCCCTTGTCATGGAGCAGAAATAAATTTCTCATATAATGTGTTAGTATAAAGGTGAAGAGTAGGGATTGTGAAACTACCTCCATGAAGTTTTCCTCAACTTTTTTTTTTTTGGAGGAGGATAACCAGTATGTTCTGTCTCCTTCATACACACAACAGTAAATATATATGGATATCATATGTAGACACTCAAGATACTTTCATACTTTCTCTTTATATAATGTTTTCTAAATTTAAATTTAAAAATAGGAATTCAAAGAATCCGTAATTCAGTGAGTTACAGTTTGTGCTGTCTTGTATTAATATTACTTAGTAATATCTCAGTCCTGACTTGCTGTTGCTGCTAATCATTGGAAGCTGATACCATTAGAAGATGCTTGTATTTAATGGGGTTGAGACAGGGCTCAAAAATTCTCATTTTAATAAAGACTCAGGAGATGAACTACAGACTTAGAAAAAAATCATATGGTATAGAGTGTGTTCTTTTTCTATGATATCTGTATTTATTCACTTGAGGGCTTCAGAATACTTGTGCTAAAACCACTTGTGGCACTTGGGAACACCCTTTAAAACGTAGATACCTGTGCTTCAGCATGGAATTGCTGCTACTTAATTCTAGTCTGTAGTGCAAAGGACTCTGTGTGTGTGTGTGTGTGTGTGTGTGTGTGTGTGTGTGTGTGTGTGTCTGAGATGGGGGAGGGGGAGAGAGAGATAGAATGAGAGAGAGAAAGAGAGAGAAAGAGAATTAGAATCTGCAGGGTAAATAACAAGTGACCCTGAGTCTGAGTTTTAACTGCCCTTTTCTTGGTTATAATTTCTATTTCATGCAAGAACAAAAATATATTTTGTCCTTGGCCATACCATATAATACTCAGGGTTTCCTCAGGGTTTACTCCTCACTCTGTGTTCAAGAATCAATCATGTTAATGATCAAGGACCTTTTGTGTGTGAGAGATCAAATTGGATCAGGCACGTATAAGGCAGGATCCTTAACTGCTTTATCATCTGTCCAGCCCCAAACAAATTTTGTATCATCGAAAATGCCCACTAAGTGGTAACATATTTGTGTTACATGAAATTTATATTTTAAAATGTTAGTTATATAAAATCATTTATACTCTAAGATTGCTCTCTTTTTGCAAAGAGGAAATCAGATTATAAAATCATGATCTTTTCTAATATATAATGTTTTTAAAAGTAAGAGTATATTTATTTAATTGTAAATACCCATTAATATGTCATGATATAATGATACATTTTATTGAATAAACAAAATTTCAAATCTGGGACTTGTCATTGTTTGAAATGTAAAGTATATTTATGCTTATTTTTAATTTGAACTTCTCTTTTTCTCTCTCCTTATGTTCCTCCCTCCATTCCTCTACCCTCCTTCCCACCCCGACTCCTAACTCCAATCCCTACTTTACCTGTTTGTGTCTATTATTATAGCATCAGATGAAGAAGAGCCAACTTCTGCAGGTAAAGTTTCTAATACTGTTAAGATTACTTCTATTTAATGTCCTTAAATGTATTCAGTTTTATCCAAGTGTTTTTTTCCAGATTTTACCTTGTTTTTGGTAGATTTATTTTTTTTTAATTGATTCTCTTATGCTGTCCCATAATACATAAAATTAGTCAGGAGTTTCGAATAAAAACAGTAGATATCGGATTATCTTTCTCTTTCATGGAATATAAAGATTCAAGTTAAGAGGACAGACAAAGCCAAATGAAAATCAATCCCTGGATTCTAACCTCATAATGGAATTGATGTTACAAGAAAGCGGAGGCAGCAAGATTACAGTGGAGATGAGGGGAAGGATGGCAGAAAATTGGTACACTGGTGCTGGGTGTGACGTGATAACAAGGAAAGGTGTGAAACTAATTTCCTAAAACTATAGGGATATATTTTATACCCCTACAAATAAACCAAAGTGCATCAATTTAAAATAATAATTGAAAATGATCTGAAAGTATAACATAAAATATGTAAGTATATATAACAAAATATATAAGTATAACATAAAATCTATACATATAACAGTATAACATAAAATACTCTAAAGTATAAGACGAACATTAAAGAATAATAAATATAAAACACTTGAGTTGTGTTAAGAAATAATATTGTGTTGTGTTTTGAAGTTGAGTTGTGTTTTGAAGGAAAAACTGAATTGATAAAATGCATGAAAAAATGAAATGGGAAGAATTCAAAATCTAGGTCAATAACGCTTTCAGAAATATAGCCCTGCATGATGGAATACTGCATTTGCAAATCTATAATATTCAGTTAGGTTTTCAGTGTTGAGAATCTAACAGATGTCCTATTGCTGAGCTGCATCCCCAGCAACGATATTTAAAGTATAAAAGTTATATTCTTCCAGTTAAACTTTATATTTTATTTTATCTTTTTTTAAATTAAAGTAATTTTACATTATAGAAGTTTTCAGAGTGGGGCTGGTGAGACAATCCATCAGGAAGAGTGATTGTTTTTCATATGGTCAACGTGAGTTCAATATCCAGTACCACTTATAATAACCCAAACACCACCAGGGTGATCCCTGAGCACAAAGCCAGAAGAAAGCCTGAACACAACTGCATATAGTCCAAACACACACACATGCACACAAACACACACACGTGCATGCACACACACATTTTCAAAAATGTGTATTGAATATTAATATATGTAGATTCTGGGGGCTGAAGCAATAGCACACCGGGTAGGGTGTCTGCCTTGCATGCGGCTGACACAGGTTTGATTCCCAGCATCCCATATGGTCCCCTGAGCACCGCCAGGGGTAATTCCTGAGTGCAGAGCCAGGAGTAACCTCTGTGCATTGCCAGGTGTGACCCCCCAAAAAAATATATATGTAGATTCTATATTAAATTTGTAACTAGAAGTCTACGTCCACATAAACTTAACAACCTCTACTACTCCTTTCTTCTTCCCTCTGATAGACCTCCAATTGTCTCATATTTCAAAAGGATTTGTTTGATAAACCAATTTCAAAATTGTTTTGTTTGATTCACCTACTTGTTTTCTATGAATATCAGATATTAGTAAAATCATTTGCTATTTGCCTTTTACTTGATACCCTGTATGTTCAACCACATTGCAGATTATATGTACATATATTTACATATATATACATATATATGAATAGTATTGCAATATGTGTATATACCACATCATTATCCATGCATCAGCTGATAGACATTTAGTTTGTTTTCAGATCTTACATAGTATAAGTTATACTGCAATAAACGTGGAGGTAAAAAATAAATAAACATGGAGGTGCTTCTAGTGCTTCAATTTAAAAACACTTAAAAATGAATTTTGATAGTTATAGTATCGCCATACTGAGACCTAGAAACATTCCTTTCTCATCAAGATAACTGGTGTTCATCAAGTACATGTTGAGACCTGACCGTAGTATTGTGAAGAATGTAAATGTCAGGGAAGACATATTTTTTTTCCGAGAAAGGTCTGGGACAGTGCAACTTGTCAATAAGAAATGCCAGAAATCTTAAGACCTAAAAGGACAAAGTAGGTAACAACAACCTGATAAACAGTATTAAAAGTCTAGCAGAGAAGCAGCATCAGGAAAACATCTCTGAAATGTTTTCCATGAGTTAGAGTTTGATCTGAAGAGAAATGACTTCTCAGGGTCCTATGTGAGAGAAAAGTTAACACTGAGAGACAAAAGAGAAAATGGGTAATTAAACCCATTGTCAAAATGGGTTTTATACTCTCCACTTGTATTCAGTATGCAGTGGCTAGAAGGTGCCCTCTTTTACAACTGTGTGTTGGAGGGTATCGTGTTAAGCAAAATAAGTCAGAGGGAGAAGGATAATTTATGTCCAGTGTTCCCAAGCACCTGTGAAATACAGAGACAAAACCAAACTGGAGGCAGGGTATACAATATTGAGCAATGAAAAACTCTTGATTTTGTATTTCAGAACTCAAAATACTAAGCAGTAAAAGAGTACTGATGGGAATGAAGGTGTGAAAGTGCAGTATGGTAACTTTGTACATCAAACCATAAATGCTAGCATTACGTTAACCGTGTTACCTAAACTATAATATAAAAGAAATTAGACTTGATTCTATAGGAGGGGTAGTGTTTTAATAACTCAAATATTAGAATTCAGATAGAACCGAAGTTCTTCATATTTCATCGGCCTTATAAAGTTCAACTAGCTCAAGACTTCATTTTTTCTTTCCCCACAAAACAGACAGGGATATTTACTTCTAAGAGTGAGTTCAAAGATAAAATATTCAGTGGGAGAAAAATTATAGAATTGTTATAAAATGTCAATAAATTTCTGTGATACTCTATTGCAAGAAACTAATATTACTGCCTTGTGACTAGAATCAGAGAAGAAAACAGACTCTCAAATTTTATTTTGTTTTCAAATAATTATTAGATAGATTAAGAAAAGTAGCAACTTTCTTATTTCCTCCAACTTCAGACATTGTTGTGTAGCCTATTTTGAGGAGAAACTGATCAATAACTCAATGACACAGTGGTTTATTCTCTCTGTATAGCTTTTTTATGTGTTTTGCTTGCTTTTTTTGACAATGGGCAATGCTCAGGGATTCCTCCTGGCTCTGCATTCAGGAATCACGCCTCACAAACTCAGGGAACCATATGGGGTACAGAGGATTGAACATGGCTGGCGGTATGCAAGGCAAGCACCTTATCCACTGTAAATCTCTCTGGCCCCTCTCTCTTTTTTTGGCTTCATTTTGTCCTAACTTGAGGATTTAGAGTTTCTCTTCTTTTCTTTGTAAAGCAAGAACATTTTTTTTAAAAATTTTGTATTAGTGAGACACCATGAGGTACAGTTGTAGACTTACAAATTTTTGTGCTTGGGTTTCAGTTTCACAATGATCGAATACCCATCCCTCCACCAGTGCCCATTCTCCACCACCACTGATCCCAGTATCCCTCCCACCCCCCATTCCCCCATCCCACCTTGTCTATGTGGCAGGGCATTACCCCCTGTTCTCTCTCTCCTTTTGGGTGCTGTGTTTTGCAAGAGAGGCATTGAGTGGCAATCATGTTCAGTATATAGTCTACTTTCAGCATGCTTCTCCCGTCCTGGGAGGATCCTCCCAACACCCTTTATTTGGTGCTCCCTTCTCTATCTGAGCTGCCTTTTCCACTAGCATGTGCGGCTGGCATCCAAGTCATGGAATAAACCTCCTGGTACTTATCCCAGCTGTTCTTGGTTGTTAGTCTCCTATTTTGTTACTTTATGTTCCCCAGAAGAATGCAATGTTTCTATGTCTGTCCCTCTTTCTGACTCATTTCACTTAGCACCATACTTTCCATGTAGTACAACTTATATATAAATTTCATCACTTCATTTTTTCTAAAAGCTACATACATAGTACTCCATTGTGTAGATGTATCATGAGGGTTTCATCAGACACCAGATCTAAAACTGCCTGTAAAAGCCTACATTTTACTTTTAATACAGAGTTAAAGTATTATAATGAAATTGTATTAAAACATTTGGCAAAGTTTGGGTCCGAGTAATCGTATACTGCTAAGGGTGCTTGCCTTACAAGTGGTGGACCCTAAGCTGATACCTGACACCCCATCTGTCTTCCAAGTCTGAGTGAACTGGAGTCAGCCTAGAAGAAGCCCTGAGCACAGACAGGCCTGAAGCCCCCCAAGCAAGCAAACAAAAACATTGACAGAGTATTTTAGGTATTATACATAATTGATTTCATGAGGAATATGAATGGTTATAGAAAACAAATTGTGATTTATTTTGGTACCTATCACACCAGTTTTTCAACAATTAAATTTGAATTTTTTCATAATTAATTGCTATTGCATTTATTTTACATCTATTATTGATTAAAGTACAGTTTATTTAAATAGTTTTATCTAATAATGTTATTTGATGTATTATTACTATTTTTCTCATATCCATCAATAGAATTTATGTAAAACAAAATTTTCAGAGTACAGATTTATTTCCAGCTTATCATTTCTTTCTTTCTTGTTATTACCTTGTTACTCTTAAATTATCCATAATTTTTTTGCTCCAAATTTATACCTGCTATCAATTTTCATATATCTCATGTAACTCCTTTATCAAACATTATTTCTTTAGATTGACCATATAGTCAATTGAACGATAAGCTCCTCAAACCCTTTAATTTCTTTTAAAGTAATTATTATTCTTATAATAGAAGATTTGCTATTCCTCAAAGTTCAATAACAGAATAAATAATAAAATAATTGGTGAATGGTTTGTTCTCAAATAGTCACAAGTTCATGATTTCTAGTGATTAATTTATAAATTATGGATTTAAATGACTTTTATTTTAATCTTGTATTGGGGTAACATTGTTTTGCAAATCTGTAAATGTTATTCTGTGCTAGAAGTATAATGTTAGCACAACACACTCACCCCAAAGGTGCCAATAGCCTTTGTCCACTCTCTATAGAATTCTTCTG